CGATTCTGATTCTGATTTCGATAATGGAATTGTCTCTGTACTTGTATTGTTAGATCTTAGTGCTAGTGTTACGATCCAGGGGAAAAGAGGCGCAACAATTAATAATGAACCCAGTGTTAAAGAAAGAGAGAAAAACAGAATTATGTTACACTATTAAAAACTATTTATTTAAACGTTTTAATCATAAATGAGGAGTTCAATATTAACATAAAACAACGTATATGTGACAACAACTATCTATACAAAACACATGAACTAAACAAACCAAACACTAGTCCAACAAATAAATATGAATGCAGCTCTCCCTCCACTGAAGGAGTAACAAAAGTAGCACATGTGCGCAACACACAAACGACGTACAGCACCACACAGCTATCTGGTGGTTTGGCCCACTGGCCTCATCTGTCTGTCTGTCTGTCTGTCTTTGCTTTTAAGCAATCAGAATGATGGCCAAACTAATACATGGTCAGAAGAATCTTTGAGCATTCTGGAAAAACCTCCAAAACTACAGTGAATGTTGTTAAATAACCTCCTGGGATGTAAAAAAGTCTTCTATATATCCTTAGCTCTCAGACTAGAATATAATATTACATGGGAGGCGCAGTCTCTGTTGAAACTGGGATGGGCTCCAGTCTGACCAACCCTGAACAGGATAAACTTGTATTGATAATGGATAGATGGATGAAGCACCATCCTATTCAGTCTCCCATTATTCTGCTAGGTGTGACCAAAAGACTCTGATGAGTCAACAAATCATAGAGGTCAGCTGACTGTTTTGAATCTCCATGGTATTAAAATCAAACATAGCAATATGTCTTTATACCTAAATAGGTAGTTTGTCAGCGTCTTTCCATATAAACCATATTGAATGTTACAGTATTGAGATTGACATGAGCATTAAAGTTTAATCAAGGACAGGGTTAACAAATCATATAAGACACACACGTGTGTGTATATATCAAAATGAGTTTTATTGGTCAAGCATGTACATATAAGGAAATTAGTTTCAAGTTGCTTTCAGTTCCAAAAGGGGTAAAAGTACACACATTCAGTGCTATTGAAGAACATATCCTAAATACTAAATTGAAATGAACTTGCAGCAGCTATTTTTGTACAAAGCTAACTGAAACTCCAAAAAGGAGTTCTTCTCTGTTTCGTCTTTCTCATCGTGTGACTTCTGTTAAGTGTGTTATGTGTCGGTCTTAAGCCGCATAAAAAACATCAAAAACACAATAATTTCCTTCAAAACTAAATGTAAACCTGTTGTTGTATATAAAAAATTTATAAAGTACAGATATTTGTATAGAAATGTAGAGGTAAAAGTAAAATATATAAAAATAAATAATGTCAGAATAAAAATAAAGTACAAAAAATCTGCTTAAGTAGGGTAATAAAGAGCTTGTACTTCATTACTTGTACTTCATTACTGCCCCCTTCTGCTCAGTTCTAAGAACAATTTAGTAGAAGATAGAAAAAGACATGCAGCGACACCTGCAATTGTTTTTCCCCAATTGTTCAATCACCACCAAAACTGTATTACAGTAAATTTTACATACAGTACAGTTCAAAGTCAAAAGACATGACACACTGACGCTGCTTTGTCACACCCCTCAACTTCACTGTCTGTATGAAACGCCTTTTTAACATACACAGGAAAAGATTGTGATTCGGGGTAAATCCAGGATATATTATTTATTTATTTGTTATATATTGTTATGTTGTAATAAAATTTTCAAAAAAACAAAAAGAAAGAAAGAAAAATATCTGGTATCTGCAGCTGTTGCAGGCCTGAAATAACACCGGTAAGGATAAACTGATATAGATAATGGATCAACTGTCAGTTTCCCTTTATTCTGTGAGACCAAAAGCAGAGCCAACATTCCTCTCTTAATACCATTATCACACGGCTGGGTCTCTTTGGCCCCTTTAACACCAAAGTAGCTCTGCTTCTCGAACCAGTTCTGTTCAATAACCTTGGTGCTATCCAGATAACCAGCCTACGTTTCCACCATTTTTAAGTAGAACCTCAGTTATCAGATGTATCATCAACAGAGGGTACTGCACAATGCACAACAACCTGTATAATATTACACGTCCACTTTGGCTCCCAAGGAAAACCTGTTAGTTTTGGTTCCAGCTGAGAACCAACGTTTTGGGTTCGGAACTAATGTATTTTTGGTTGAAATATATAAACGGTTTGGTGCTTGAACCAGAATGGAGCCTGTTGGTGGAAAAGGGGCATCAGAGACCCCAGACAATATATATATATATACGCATATACACATATACATAAATACATATAACATACATACAATATGAATACAACATGGATGAATGAAACAATAGGAAAAGAACAAGTTACCAAAAAAAAGACAAGAATAAGTAAATAAATACATGGAAGGAGATCTATAAAATGTTTGCCTGTAGAGATTTTTAGAGTTTTAAGGAGCCAGCAACTTCAAAATGCAGCCACATCTGAATTTTGATGCTCTTCTATTAGCGTTGTTACAGTGCCGGTGCTTTGGACAGGCCAAGAGGACAAGACTCACATATTACAGCCATAATTCCCCACATTACATTACACATCATGATTCAATAACGTCTTGTTGAATGTGAACAGTATTCAATGAGAGTATTATTTTGGCTTTCACCAGGATGTTAATTATCTCTTCATTACTTTATTCAATACTAAATTACTTCTAATAGATTTTGTGCTGACTCATTAATAGTGACACACTTCTTTCATAATATATATACACTTGTGTGTGTGTGATCTAAATTATTGTTGCCAGCTATGTTAATAGACACACACACAAAAAAAACATTTAAACATATTTTAAGCATTCTTTAAAATGAATAATTAATTACAGCTTTTATTTGCAAGCTGTATTGTAATGTATTACTAGGTGATAATAAAGTTTTACAACTTACTTATAATTTAATTTCAAAATTGTTACATTAAATGTATGTATTAAATGTTAATTCAATGTTTTAATAAACTTGACTTAAACTACTAAGAGTACTAGTGAGAGTTGCATTTATTCTATGAAAGGTGTTGATTGAATGCTCTTGAATATTTTAAACAAATGAACCCTGTGCTAAGTTGTTTTAATATAGTATATGGTCAAAAATGAACCCTCAATGAATGAATGAACCAACTCATTTTATTTTCATGTTTTAAAATCTAGATATGACAGTACATAAAGTAAATACGAGCAGATGTTGATAAGGAAGTGGATCAGAAACATCAGTCACTCACATGTTGTACAATAGTAACAAAGAAAAGTTATGAAACCCAAAGTCACGGTCACTTAATCAAAATGTAAAATGTCATGTCAGAAAAATGCCACGGTGCGTGTTCATGTTGGTTGTATCAGGGGAACAAAAGCAGAGAGACATCACACCTTTATCCATGACGAGAGTTGTCATTACTCATACTCTACGAGCACATATTTGTCCTCAGACTTGTGTCATCTCATGCTTATAAAAAGAGGAACTGGAGTCAGTGAACATCACAACTTCGGTCACTACAAAGGACAACACAAAAGCAGAGAATATAAACCTGTAAGTACTTTTATTGTGTTGTTAATTTTGAGAATTTAGAAATGTTGAAATTATATTTATTTTTGTCTTTTTTAAATATTTTGTGCAGGATTTCTCAGCTTTTCCTGGCCCTTTATCCTATTATTTTCTTATATAATAGTTTATCCTGTTTTATTTATTTCTTTATTTTATTTCTTTATTTGTCCAGTCATATCAGTGTTTTTGTTGTCAGTTTTTAATCGGTTTAATGTCTTAAATGTTACAATTTTGTTACGTGTATTATTATTTAAACCTGTTACTTTGTATGTAAGCCTGGAACTTGCTTCAGCACATGCCATCGTAAAATAATGACAAAACAAAATGTTATCACTTAAGTTTATTTTGTGAACAACTTATTATCAGTTCGTATTCAGTACTGTAGTCTTACAGCTGCTGTACGCTTATTCAGTAAAAGACACATGCACTGAAAACATGAGCAAACAATTTAAATTGCGAGTCTTACCCTCAGCATTTACCCCTATCTGCAAAAATTCTGATTTTCATTTATCTAATGACATTTTTATTTTTCATGCAGCAGAAAAAATAAACTTCAACTGAATCACCATGATTGCAAAGATTTGTGTAATCCTTCTTTTGTTTGTTGGTAAGAGAAACATTCATTCCAAAAAGAGCTTTAAAAAGAGTTTGAAATGTTGGACTAAATGTTAAACTAATCCAACATTTTATACTCAAAACAGCCTTTAGCAACTCACAGACAACAACAGTTCCTCCAGCAACAACCACGGCTGTTCCAGCAGCAACAACAACAGCTGCTCCAGCAACAACTACGGCTGCTCCAGCAACCACGGCCGCTCCAGCAGCAACAACTGCTGCTCCAGCAACAACCACGGCTGCTCCAGCAACAACAACTGCTGCTCCAGCAACAACCACGGCTGCTCCAGCAACAACTGCTGCTCCAGCAACAACTGCTGCTCCAGCAACAACCACGGCTGCTCCAGCAACAACTGCTGCTCCAGCAACAACCACGGCTGCTACAGCAACAACTGCTGCTCCAGCAACAACCGCTGCTCCAGCAACAACCACGGCTGCTCCAGCAACAACTGCTGCTCCAGCAACAACTGCTGCTCCAGCAACAACCACGGCTGCTCCAGCAACAACTGCTGCTCCAGCAACAACCACGGCTGCTCCAGCAACAACCGCTGCTCCAGCAACAACCGCTGCTCCAGCAACAACCACGGCTGCTCCAGCATCAACCACGGCTGCTCCAGCATCAACCACGGCTGCTCCAGCATCAACCACGGCTGCTCCAGCAACAACCACGGCTGCTCCAGCATCAACCACGGCTGCTCCAGCATCAACCACAGCAGCATCCACTACTGCCTCCTCCTCCACTCTCATCAACAAAATCAGTCTCATTTCAGTCGTGGTGGCTGTGATAACACATGTAATTCGCTTTTAAGACTGAAGGTGTTAAATACAGTGTCATGCTGTAAATGAAGTGATAAAAACTGAAGAATTTGTATGAAGATTTTAGATGCTGTCAGTAAGCTAATATTATAATATATTTTATTGTGTGTATGTGGATGTATGATGGCGTATGTAAGCACTGCTGATCTCTGATATGTCAGATTTCACACTTGCCCCTCCTGGAGGTCTCTATAGTTAATCTGTGATGGGAGGACTCTGAAATGTTCTTATTCAGAGAACAGTGAATCAGTTTATCAGTTAATGTCCTCATTTTGTCTGTAATTACATACTTTTTTTAGGAGATTGTTTACAATAAATATTTTGCAGTTAATAAGTTGTCACAAATTACTTTTGCACTATTTATTGAAGACCTTAGTCAGCAAACTTAGTTTTAAATTTTAATTATTTCTTAAATTTATGAGAAAATACAATAAAATTCCTTCCTTAAGTCAAACGCCTTTTGGAACTTTGGTCAATTGTCTTCCTGTAGCCTACTTATGCTGTGTGCTAAGCTAGTCTATGTTGAAAAGACAACAACATTCAAAAAGCATTATCAATCATTAAAAAATAAAACAAACATCTTAAATTAGCCAATGCTATCCACCTAGCTAGTGTAACCCCCTACCTGCACCTGTCACTTTAAGACAGTGCTAAATATCTAATAGGAAAATGAGGGTTGACTTTGATTCTAGATTGGATTAGGAGACTGCTGAGATTTACCTGCCTAATTGTTGAATTAGACCTGCAATATCTACCCCAAATAACACACACGACAACAGACTGACAATTTTAAAGGAAGTATATTGAACCCAGTGAAGATCCTTCACAACACAGTATCTCAAAAAGGTAAGTAAATTAAAGTGAATACTGCATTATAATACTATAGTACCTATATCATCAACTCAAAGTTGGATTCACAATACACAGTTCTTTTAAGTACCTTTGTTGAACCCCAATTGTCCAATCTTAATATTTTGAACCAAAATAAAATAATAAAAAAAACCTCTGAGATCTCAGGTATGAAAAAGGAAATTGTCCCAAAAGTTCAAATGAATAAAAAAAAATGAATAAAAAAATAAAAAGTAAAGGGGAAAAAAATCAGTGCACTCAAAGTCCTACCGCCCTCTTCCACAGTGAATATCCAAAGTGAGTATTGTGATGGGAAAGATATGGAGATGTGGACGTGGATGACCCCTTTTCCGAAGGTGAGTAGCAACCAGGATGGAGATGCATATGGATGACAGCAGAAGATGGTAGAGGAACCGAGGACCCAATCGAAAGACTCTAAAAAAAAAAAAAACAGCCAGGGAATTGTTTACAACTCTAAACAGTTCTACTCCGTCCTACTTGAAGTCGCAGCTCGTCGATCGCCTCTTCTACATCCATGTTCAACTTATCTCTCAGTTTTCAGACTTCTGACTTAGTTTTATCACACACACACACACACACACACACACACACACACACACACACACACACACACACACACAATTAGAGATAAACTGGGGTTTAACTAACCACGGTTACACCAGCTTATCAACATCAATTGTTTGTTCGTGTTTTGCTGTGAAGTAAAACATTAGCCACTACTTAACTAGTCAGCTAACTAGATAGCTAAAGATTGATTTACATAAGCAAGCTAGTTAGTGGGCATTTTGCTGATATTAGGTAACTTAAGATGTGACTTTATGTGCTGCTTTTATCTTTCATCTGCTGTTTGAAGGAGATGGTAAAGCAAATTAAATGCTTTTATTATGCAATCGTGCACTGATTGTTGAAACCTAGATGAACAGTGTTTGACTTTACCCTATTATTATTTTTATGAACTTTATAGGACATGCTTCAACACTACTTAATATCATCAAATTCTAACAAATGTTGACCTTTTTTTTTTTTACTTCCATGCCTTGTGGGATTTTTGACCATTTGAAGTAGCGTGCCCTTATTGTTTGTTCTCAATTTGTTGGGATGCAATACACATTCCTGCCAATGGTTTCATGCTATTGCATTTATCTACAGGTGGCAGCAAAGACAGGAATGAATATGACTGCAAGAACATACACAGCAATACAAATTTGATTTAGATTTACCATAATCGCAAATTTGCCTCAGGAGGCTTTACAAATATTTAAAGCATCAGACACCTCATTATGGGTAAGGAAACACTACCTCCAACACTTCCTCAGGAAGAACCACAAACGAAGGGATCCAAGACTTTTTGGTCTCAATTGTATTGACAGATCAACAGCATCTTCAACAGGAAAGGCCTACCATGTGAAGAGCAGCAGCATCCTCTGCTGGAAGTATGATGTGTTGTGTCTCGTCAAGTGTGTTAATGTGTAGTGTCATGTTCATGTTTAGTGTTTCATGTTTAGTCCTTCCTATTTTATTTTGTACTCACCTTTTCCCTCACATTTCAGACCCTGACTTCCTCCTTTTGTGTGATTTTCCCTCCTTTGTAATTGTCTGCCCTGCCCCCTGATTGTTTTCACCTGTTTTCACTTACACCTGGTATAAATAGTCCTTGTCTCCCTTTGTCAGTTTGTCTTGTTCATTGTGGGAGAAGTATTGTCAAGTGTTCCAGAGTTTTTCACGTTTTGTGTTAAACTTTTTTGATCTCCTCGTGAGCTATTGTTTTGCACTTTTTATCCTCCTGAGGGGTATTGCACAAAACCAGGATAAGGGATTAAGCCGGGATATGTTGGTTATCCTGGCTGAATTTAGCCTCAAGTCGGTTGTATGAAAGCATGTCAAACTTAACCTGGCCAAGTTACTATGGTGATTTATTCTCTGCAGCTAGCCTGCTCGAGACCAGGCTAACAGCCAGGCTAAGATTAATCCTAGTGATTCACCTGTATTTCCACCTTCAGTCCTGTGAGGAATTAATGTGTTTTACAGCATGTCCAAGGTCTTTCTTAGTATGTTGCATCATTTTAATTGTCCTGCATTAAAATATTACATATATATTGTCATTTCTCATTTCATTTAAATCTCATTAATGGCAGACTCGTCAGGGAGCAATAAATTGCAATTTTTTATTTTATTTTTTAATTTAGCCCATCTTTAGTTAATAAAATATCTTAAATGTTACTTTTTGCTGTGTGTGCATTTTGTTTAACATTGGTGGTTATCTTTTCAATTCTACTTCATATTCATGAAGGGAGGGCACCACAGTGTTTTCTAGTTGAATTTTTTTTTTTTTTTATTTGGCAGTCCTCATTTGTCTTGGTTCCTTGGATCCTGGAATAGAGAGAGCAAAAGCAACAAAGATTAAAACACTGTATTGCAGTTATGGTTACTATGTGCACTGAAATACCCACTTCTCTTTCTAGTTTCTGGATTTCCAGGTCCAGTTTCCTGAGTGTCCGGCGTTTAATCTCAAGATCCAGCTCCATTTCTTGGAGCTTTCATTTCTTGAGTTTGATTTTAACGTCTCCCAGCTCTGTCTCTCCAGGTGCTTGCGTATAGTCTCCTGACAGTTTGTGAAGTCTGTAAAAGAAATGTCAATTAGCACAGCAGGATTTGTGCATAATATAGATTTACTTTGGCCAATACTCACAATGTTACCAGGCTACTTAGGAGACTGTGCAGCATCTGGGTCCTGTTACACATATATTTTCTATTAGTACCACATCACTGACTTCATATTCTTTATGGACTAAATAAGCAGGATATTTCCATAAAATTGACATACCTCAAGCCTTCTGGAGTCCAGTGACAGTCTCCTCATCTGCAGAAGTGCATTCTGCAGCTGCAGATGTGCCTTCCCCCTGCCATATACACATCTGTATTGAGAGAACTTGAATTAAGATTTCAAAGGACATACCAAGCCTGTGATTTCAAAACAATGTACTAACCGGATCATCTTCTGGTGGCTCCAAAAGCGTGTTCCCAGACGCTGCAAGGAAATCCAAAGTCAGACAGTATAATATATTAATTTGATTGTGTTCCATGTGCAGTAGAACTGCAATATGTACCTTGTATGAACGGACAGTTTCTGTGGCTGGTACAGAGTCTGTTACTGTCCCTCCCTGGATCCCCCTCCCTTTATTTAAACGGAGTGCCAGCTCCTCCGCTGGGGGGTCATATCCTGGCTTGGTGGGCCGCCCCCTGTGCCAGTTCTATGGGCGTTTTTTAACTGCTACAATCATACAGACATTCAACATGTCAGCAGACACCTAATCTATTCAACTCATTTGTTCACTGTTATCTACTTTAAAGTCACTTACCAGCCTGCAAAATGTTCTTGTATTTAACTTTTTAAATATTTTTAAGGTAACTTTGCATGACAAGTTTCTTCTTTATGAGGCCAGACAAAATAGTTAAAAATGTTCTATTAAATGACACACATTGTGGATAATGGTTGCACTTAATCATACTCTACATTTAAGTAACATGCACCGCTACTTGCCACATTTAAAGCAAAGTGTACAACAGTTGATTAGTGGACTTAAAGTAACTCCTTTAGTCCTTTAATTGGAGCCTAATTATGACAGTTCCAGTGGAGCACTGTTTATTCATTGTACAGTTTTGGACAACATGATGTTTTACAACTAGGTTCGGGAACAAAGACCACCCCCTGCAATCATCTCATTTCCGCTAAAAACTTACTTAAGCACACCTTATCCGTTCACTCCCTCCTTGACTCATTTTCCACATGATCGGCGTCAGACAGGAAACACAAAAACATATACCTCGAACCAGGGAGTACAAGCTCACACTCAACTCTTCAGACAGCAACATGTTTGAAGACGCATGACAAACTCACGAAATCTCCGAGTCCTCTTCCTCGCCTACCATTCCTTCTCGTCAGCCACCGCGGCTATGCTCAACAATCCATGTGCTCTGACACTCCCAGACTTCATCCACCGACAGCTCCAACACCATCGGGCCTTCGCCCCCAACAGGTCCAGGGAAGTTCTCCGGCGCCCGACCGACCTCCCTCCTGCCAGCAGCCTCGGGCGAATCTACCGTGACCCGACTTCCCTCGGCCGTAAACTACGGTGCCTTGCCAGAGGATCGCTCTCTCTCAGCAAAACACACCCTTCCAACGCACCGATAACAAAACGAAAGACCACTCTTCCTCTCCAAGCTTCACCGCCGCTTCCGGGTTTACGGCGTCGCGTCCTTGGCAACGCCGATGACGTCAAGGCGCATCCCACGCCCCAGCCTTTCTCATAAGCCCTCTCAGAGCAACACAGTCTCACTCCCAGAACTCACAAACTAATAACTATTGCCTTGCAGGAAGTAACACTGAGAAGACTCAGTGTTTCCTCCTGCCCCAGGGTTGGATTTGCTCCAGTGATTCTTTGTTTGGCTGTCACAGATACCTGACACCTCAGCGTTACACTTCCTCCTCCACCACATTTCACATGTTGTTTTTTTAACCACAACTTTTATTGAAACACTGTCAATGCACTGTTTAAGTAAAGCTAAAGCTAAAGGTAAAGGTGCCATATAAATAAAAACTTAATTTTACAACAGTTTGAGCATCAAGCGACAATTTTGTGACTTTCGGTGGATAGTGGATAGACATAGCTCAATTGTTACTACATTCAATTCAATTTTATTTGTATAGTGCCAATTCATAACAGAAGTTATCTCAGGACACTTTTCAAATAGAGCAGGTCTAGACCGAACTCCATAAACATTTACAGAGACCCAACATACCACCATGAGCAAGCACTGGGCGACGGGGACAAGGAAAAACTGCCCTTTAAGAGGCAGAAAGCTAGGACAGATCCTTCGACTCCAACTTGGAATTGTCATCATGTGATAACGGACGGTGAAAAAGTAAAAAAAAAAGTGGACAAAAACTGAAATGAAATGAACAAGTAAACTCATCTCCTCACCAAGACATTGAGATGTGATTGAAAGCTTTTGAAGATTTTAAACAAATGAACCCTGTGCTAAGTTGTTTTAATATAGTATATAGTCAAACATGAACCCTCAATCTCAGTAATTTTGACTGACAGCCCCTGTCACTTGTGGTGTCCCCCAAGGATCTATCCTAGGACCCCTGCTCTTTATCTTATACATGCTGCCACTGGGTCGTGTCATCAGCCGACACGGTATCTCCCTCTCCCTCTCCTCTGTCCTGCTCAGTGTGTCAGATGTTCAGTTATTCCTCTGCCTCCTTTAAAGATAATGGTACCTGTATTAAATCTAGTTTATTTACTGCGCTGGAGGCGAGGCTTAGTGAGTTAGAGGAACGGCACCGCACCACAGAGATATCTTTAGCCGCTATAGTTAGCCAGCCCCCAGTAGCCGGTGCGGTCCGACCGAAGGTAGCTTCTGTTAGATCTGTAGATCCCCCGGTAGTTCCCGAGCAGCCGGGAAGACAGGGAGGCTAGGTGACTGAGCGAAGGAAGGCTAAAACGGCGAAGCCCACAGGTCACCACCAACCCCTTCACGTTTCCAATACATTTTCCCCACTCAGCGACACACCCGCTGAGGAAACAACTCTGGTTATTGGCAGCTCCATAGTCAGAAACATGAAGTTAGCGAAGCCAGCGGCCATAGTTAAATGTATCCCTGGTGCCAGAGCGGGCGATATTGAATCAAATTTAAAACTGCTGGCTAAAGATAAACGTAAATACAGTAAGATTGTTATCCACGTCGGCAGTAATGACACCCGTTTACGCCAATCGGAGGTCACTAAGATTAATGTGGAGTCGGTGTGTAATTATGCTAAGACAATGTCAGACTCCGTAGTTTTCTCTGGACCCCTGCCCAATGTGACCAGTGATGACATGTATAGCCGCATGTCGTCATTCCACCGCTGGCTGTCGAGGTGGTGTCCAGAAAACGATGTGGGCTTCATTGATAACTGGAAGCCTTTTTGGGGAAAACCTGGTCTGATTAGGAGAGACGGCATCCATCCCACTTTGGATGGAGCGGCTCTCTTATCTAGAAATAAGTTTATTTCTAAAACCTGACAGTCCAGAGTTGGGACCAGGAAGCAGAGCTGCTGTCTTACACACTTCTCTGCGCTTTCTTTAGAATAGTCACCCACCCAAAACCCCATAGAGACTGTGTCTGTCCCCCGACCACCTAAATTATTTAAAGAAATAAAAACAAGAGGAGTTCAACATAAAAATCGAATAAAAATTAAAACCAACTCCTCAGTAGCACAAAATAAGAGAATTAAATGTGGGCTGTTAAATATCAGGTCTCTGTCCTCTAAAGCTGTTTTAGTGAATAAATTAATATCAGATTATGATATTGATTTACTTTGTCTTACTGAGACCTGGTTGTCCCAGGAGGAGTATGTTAGCCTAAATGAATCCACCCCCCCAGTCATATTAATTCTCACATTCCTCGAGGCACAGGCCGAGGAGGTGGAGTAGCAGCCATATATGATTCGAGCGTTTTAATGGACCCTAAACCTAAACTAAGTTATAATTCATTTGAAAGCCTTGTTCTTAGTCTTTCTCACCCAAACTGGAAAACACTGCAGCCAGTTCTATTTGTTATAGTGTACCGCGCTCCTGGACCGTACTCTGATTTTATATCTGAATTCTCAGAGTTTCTATCAAGTTTAGTCCTTAAATCAGATAAAGTAATTATTGTAGGTGATTTTAATATTCATGTGGATGTTAACAATGACAGCCTTAGTAACGCATTTATATCATTAATAGACTCAATTGGCTTCTGTCAGAGTGTAAATAAACCAACTCATTGTTTTAATCACACTCTTGACCTTGTTCTATCATATGGCATTGATATTGAACATTTAATAGTCTTCCCACATAATCCTTTCCTATCTGACCATTATTTAATAACTTTTGAATTCATCAAACGACGATCAACATTAGACTCTATCGCTCCTATAAAAAGGAAATTATTAAAACATAGGAGACTAGCACCTTGGTATAACCACCAAACACGCCAGTTAAAACAAATAGCTAGGAAATCTGAAAGGAAATGGCGCTCTTCCAAATTATCAGAATATCGCTCAAATTGGCATGATAATCTTAAAACTTATAGAAAGGCCCTCCGTAATGCCAGAGGAGCCTATTACTCAGCACCAATAGAAGAAAATAAGAATAACCCTAGGTTCCTCTTCAGCACTGTAGCCAGGCTGACAGAGAGTCACAGCTCTATTGAGCCACATATCCCCATAAACTTAAGTAGCAATGACTTCATGAGCTTCTTCTTTAATAAAATTATTACTATTAGAGAAAAAATTAATCACCAACTGCCATCAACAGTTATCAGTGGCTCTCCAAGTTCAGGGACTTCTGTCAATGTAAACTTAGACGTATATTTAGACTGTTTTTCTGCTATCGATCTTCATCAGTTAACTTCAATAATTTCTTCATCGAAGCCATCAACCTGTCTGTTAGACCCGATCCCAACTAGGCTGCTTAAAGAAGTTGTTCCCTTAATTGGCACTTCTTTACTGGACATGATTAATCTTTCTTTATTATCAGGATATGTACCACAGTCCTTTAAAGTAGCTGTAATTAAACCCCTTCTTAAAAAGTCCACTCTTGACCGAGGGGTTTTAGCCAACTATAGACCGATTTCTAACCTCCCCTTCCTCTCTAAGATTCTGGAGAAAGTAGTCGCCAAAGAGTTGTGTGAATTTCTACATAATAATAGTTTATTTGAGGATTTTCAGTCAGGATTTAGAGTTCATCATAGCACAGAGACAGCTCTGGGTAAAGTTAATAATGACCTTCTGACTGCTTCTGACAATGGACTTGTCTCTGTACTTGTATTATTAGATGTTAGTGCTGCATTTGACACCATTGACCATAATATTCTTTTAGAGAGACTTGAGCATCAAATTGGCATTAAAGGAACCGCACTAAGCTGGTTTAAGTCATATTTATCAGATCGCTCGCAGTTTGTACATGTTAACGATGAATCTTCAATAAATACTACAGTTAGTCATGGAGTTCCACAAGGTTCTGTACTTGGACCAATACTATTTACTTTATATATGCTCCCTTTAGGCAACATTATTAGGAATCACTCCATTAACTTTCACTGTTATGCAGATAATACGCAGTTATATCTATCAATCAAGCCCAATGAAATTAATCAATTATCTAAATTACAAACATGTCTTAAGGACATAAAATCCTGGATGACCTGCAATTTTCTGATGTTAAACTCAGAAAAAAACGAAATTCTTGTTCTTGGCCCCAAAAACCTTAGAGACTCACTGTCTAAAGATATAGTTACTCTAGATGGCATTAACTTGGCCTCTAGCACCACTGTCAGGAATCTTGGAGTTATCTTTGATCAGGATTTGTCATTTAACTCCCACATAAAGCAGACCTCTAGGACTGCCTTCTTTCATTTACGTAATATTAGAAAAATTAGACACATCCTATCACAGACAGATGCAGAAAAACTAATCCATGCATTTGTTACTTCAAGGCTGGATTACTGCAACTCTTTATTATCAGGTTGCCCCAATAAGTCCATTAAAACGCTCCAATTAATTCAGAACGCTGCAGCACGAGTACTGACAGGAACTAGAAAAAGAGATCACATCTCTCCTGTACTAGCTACTCTGCACTGGCTCCCTGTAAAATGTAGAATAGAATTTAAAATCCTCCTCCTAACCTATAAAGCTCTTCATGGTCAGGCCTCTTCATATCTTAAAGAGCTCATAGTACCCTATTACCCCTCTAGAACACTACGTTCTCTGAATGCTGGGCTACTTGTGGTTCCTATAGTCTCTAAAAGTAGAACAGGAGCCAGAGCCTTCAGTTACCAAGCTCCTCTCCTGTGGAACCAGCTTCCAGTTGTGGTTCGGGAGGCAGACACCCTCACCGCATTCAAGAGTAGGCTTAAGACATTCCTCTTTGATAAAGCTTATAGTTAGGGCTGGATCAGGTGAGTCCTGAACCATCCCTTAGTTATGCTGCTATAGGCCTAGACTATCGGGGGATTTCCCATGGTGCACTGAGCTCCTCCCTTCCTCTCTCTTTCTGCACTCATTCATGTCCCATTAATGCATGTTACTAACTTCACTTCTTCCCCAGAGTTCTTGTGCTTTCTCGTCTTGCAGGTTCTTGTCGATGTTGGACTAAATGTTAAACTAATCCAACATTTTCTACTCAAAACAGCCTTTAGCAATGCACAGACAACAACAGTTCCTCCATCAACAACCACGGCTGCTCCAGCAGCAACAGCCACAGCTGCTCCAGCAACAACCACGGCTGCTCCAGCAACAGCAACGACCGCTCCAGCAACAACAACTGCTGCTCCAGCAACAACCACGACCGCTCCAGCAACAACCACAGCTGCTCCAGCAACAACAACAGCTGCTCCAGCAACAACAACTGCTGCTCCAGCAACAACCACGTCTGCTCCACCAACAACCACAAGTGCTCCAGCAACAACCATAGCTGCTCCAGCAACAACAACGGCTGCTCCAGCAACAACTACGGCTGCTCCAGCAACAACCACAGCAGCATCCACTACTGCCTCCTCCTCCGCCCTCATCAACAAAATCAGTCTCATTTCAGTCGTGGTGGCTGTGATAACACATGTAATTCGCTTTTAAGACTGACAGTGTCATGCTGTAAATGAACCAATAAAAACTGAAGGATTTGTATGAAGATTTTAGATGCTATCAGGAAGCTAGTATTATAATATTATAATGTAATTTATTTTATTGTTTGTGTGTGGATGTATGATGGCGTGTGTAAGCACTGCTGATCTCTGATATGTCAGATATCACACTTGCCCCTACTGGAGGTCTTTATAATTAATCCTAGTGTCTGTGATGGGAGGACTCTGAAATGTTCTTATTCAGAGATCCGCAAATCTGTTTATAAGCTGATGTCTACATTTTGCCTGTAACTGCATTATTATTAAATATGTTACAGTTAATTAGTTGTCACTAATTACTTTTGTACTATTTATTAAATATCTTAGTTAGTGAACTTAGTTTCAAATCTTAATCATTTCAAAAAGAATTTGAGAAAATATAATAAAAGTCCTTCCTTAAGTCCAAGCCTTTCGGAACTTTGGTCAACTTTCTACTTCCCTGTCACTTGTGTTTATCTTGTGAACAACCTATATCAGTTCGTATTCAGTACTTTAGTCTTACAACTGCTGTACGTTCCTTTTGTAATAACATTTAGGAATAAAACTCAACTAACAGTAACCAGCAGTAGTTGAATGCATTTTATTTGTTCTGTTTTCTTTAATGTCTGTTAAGTTATTTTATTTTGTCAATTCAGTAAAAGACACATGCACTGAAAACATGAGCAAACTATTTTAAATTGAGAGTCTTAGCCTCAGCATATACTCCTATCTGCATAATCCAAAGTTTAAAGAGCGTATGCTTGTTCATGTGTTTCTTGACATAGATAATAAAATAACATGTAGGCTATATTGGATGACTTTTTTTTTTTCTATTAACCAAATCTGGCTGGAAAACAGCTGCCGTAAATGGAAAAAAAATTGGGCTAAGCTTCAATGTATGTGTATAAATGTTCATTTATGAAGGGAATAGGTGGGAATGAGTGCAGCCTATGCATGAAAGTGTGATGACATTAGCCTTGCTTTGTAGTTGAAATTGAAATTGTATTTTAAAGCATCCTATGTGTTGGTTATCTTAGTCATATTTGCAACTTGTTTTACCATCTTCCTGGAAAAAGGACTACAATGGAAATATGTTTTTCTTTTTACTTTTTTGTGTTATCTTCAACATATTGCTCTAATTTTTAAAACAAATGGTAACATGGCGCATATTTGTCTTATTTCAAATTGAGTGTCCAGAATATGGCTTTGGGTTTAGTCCAGCTTCAAGCTGACTTTCTGACCTTGTCAGCTGCCCTGGTGCCTGTTGGCGTAAGAGGTACCAAACAGACTAGCACACTGGGTCGCTGTGTTGTGGTTAAACCGAGACATCAGAAAAGCAGGGATGATCATGAGGTTTAATGCACTGCAACGCAGACCCTCATGAAAACAGTTCTCAAAATAGCTTGACATCATGTTCAGAGAAATTACCCTGATACTGGATGAAGTTTGTGGCATTTATTTTGGTGGTTGTAGATTTAACAAGGAGACAAGAGGAGTTGGTGAATGTCAATTTGTCCTTAATGCTGCAGTAGTTAACTTTTATAAAAGTAACTTTTTGTCTCATTTGCTGAAACTATATTTCACTCAACCCTGACAGTAGTACATGAGCCAAATAATCTGTGAAAAAATCTGGTTCCTCTGCCTGTTGCTAGTGCTCCTAATGATATTTGCAAGATTCCACCGGGCCTGACTGAAAACAACCAATCATTGCCGAGAAAAACACTTTACTACTGATGGACAACACTCTACGTAAGCTCATTTCAGGAAAAGATTGAACACAGTGTTAAAATGGAGAAAGAAAGAAAAACAAAACAAAAGAATCGGAATTCATAAATTAGACAGTGTATTCTCTTCCTGCATTGACCAGGAAATGGAATTTCAATTGCTCTTAAAGGACCAATGTGTAAGATTTAGTGGTGTCTGGCAGTGAAGTTGCCAAACTGCCAATGGTCCTATCTATAGCCAGTGTTTGGTTTGGCTGTTCTGGGCTACTCTAGAAACAGTGCTGGTCAATATGGCAGACTTATGTCACTGTTTCCTTATTGGCCCTCATTGGAACACAAACACACTCACGTTTCCACTCCAGTCAATGGTCAAAGTTCAGTCATTCACATGCTGCACGAGCTGTGCTTCAGGTGTATGTATATAAAGAGCAAGACAGCCTCCTCTTCATCACTGCATTACTCACCTGATACCTGAACTTCACCTCACGTTTACCTGAGAGGTAAGGCAGAACATGAAGCTGGAGTTTTTTTGGCTTCAGTCCATGATCAGTTTGATTACAGTTTCCTCCAGGAGCTCACCAGGAGAGCAGGATACACCATCTCCTGGATGGGAGGATTCTACTTCCAGGTTATTAGACCCTCATACATATTTTATAAAAGCCACTATAACAGATGAATCACCATCCTAGATAGGCTGCATCAGCATAAAAATATGAAAATTGTGGACAGAAATCTCCAGTCGAAGTCTGCTGCTTGTTAGACTTGCTGTGTCTTGTGTCCAGGGCTGGAGGTGGGTGGACCAGAGCTCCTTCAGCTACACGTACTGGAGTACAGTGAATTCTGCCAGCAGCTACCCATGCGTCTACCTTAGAGTCGCTGGTAAGAGCACATTGCCATCTGTCACTGCAACTTTGGTTACATTCAGCTAGCTGAACGATGATTAATGATTACAGTTAAAATTTACCTCATGTAGTGTTGATGAATGAACATTTTCTCTTGCAGGGGGCTGGTCCAATCAGGCCTGCAGTACTACATGGCCGTCTATCTGCATGAATTCAATTCAATTCAATTTTATTTGCATAGCGCCAATTCATAACAGAAGTTATCTCAGGACACTTTTCAAATAGAGCAGGTCTAGACCAAACTCTTTAAAACATTATTTACAGAGACCCAACAGTACCACCATGAGCAAGCACTTGGCGACAAGGGCAAGGAAAAACTGCCTGTTAAAAGGCAGAAACCTAGGACAGATCCTTCGGCTCTAGGTGGGTGGTCGTCTGTCTCGACCAGTTGGGGTGAAAGAGAGAGAGAGAGACAGACAGGTGCACAGCAACAACAGTATTGGCAATGGCAATCTAGCAGGACCATGGCAGGAGGCTTCACCAGGATCGATAAGAACCTGCGAGACGAGAAAGCACAAGAACTCTGGGGAAGAAGTGAAGTTAGTAACATGCATTAATGGGACATGAATGAGTGCAGAAAGAGAGAGGAAGAGAGGAGCTCAGTGCACCATGGGAAATCCCCCGATAGTCTAGGCCTATAGCAGCATAACTAAGGGATGGTTCAGGACTCACCTGATCCAGCCCTAACTATAAGCTTTATCAAAGAGGAATGTCTTAAGCCTTTTCTTAAATGTGGTGAGGGTGTCTGCCTCCCGAACCACAACTGGAAGCTGGTTCCACAGGAGAGGAGCTTGGTAACTGAAGGCTCTGGCTCCTGTTCTACTTTTAGAGACTATAGGAACCACAAGTAGCCCAGCATTCAGAGAACATAGTGTTCTAGAGGGGTAATAGGGTACTGTGAGTTCTTTAAGATATGAAGAGGCCTGACCATGAAGAGCTTTATAGGTGAGGAGGAGGATTTTAAATTCTATTCTATATTTTACAGGGAGCCAGTGCAGAGAAGCTAGTACAGTAGAGATGTGATCTCTTTTTCTAGTTCCTGTCAGTACTCGTGCTGCAGCGTTCTGAATTAATTGGAGCGTTTTAATGGACTTATTGGGGCAACCTGATAATAAAGAGTTGCAGTAATCCAGCCTTGAAGTAACAAATGCATGGATTAGTTTTTCTGCATCTGTCTGTGATAGGATGTGTCTAATTTTTAAATGAAAGAAAGCAGTCCTAGAGGTCTGCTTCATGTGGGAGTTAAAAGACAAATCCTGATCAAAGATAACTCCAAGATTCCTGACAGTGGTGCTAGAGGCCAAGTTAATGCCATCTAGAGTAACTATATCTTTAGACAGTGAGTCTCTAAGGTTTTTGGGGCCAAGAACAAGACTTTCGTTTTTTTCTGAGTTTAACATCAGAAAATTGCAGGTCATCCAGGATTTTATGTCCTTAAGACATGTTTGTAATTTAGATAATTGATTAATTTCATCGGGCTTGATTGATAGATATAACTGCGTATCATCTGCATAACAGTGAAAGTTAATGGAGTGATTCCTAATAATGTTGCCTAAAGGGAGCATATATATAGTGAATAGTATTGGTCCAAGTACAGAACCTTGTGGAACTCCATGACTAATTGTAGTATTTATTGAAGATTCATCGTTAACATGTACAAACTGCGAACGATCTGATAAATATGACTTAAACCAGCTTAGTATGGTTCCTTTAATGCCAATTTGATGCTCAAGTCTCTCTAAAAGAATATTATGGTCAATGGTGTCAAATGCAGCACTAAGATCTAATAATACAAGTACAGAGACAAGTCCATTGTCAGAAGCAATCAGAAGGTCATTATTAACTTTAACCAGAGCTGTCTCTGTGCTGTGATAAACTCTAAATCCTGACTGAAAATCCTCAAATAAACTATTGTTATGTAGAAAGTCACAACTTTAAGGGGGGGGGGGGAATATAAAAAAAAAAAAAAAAAAAAAAAAAAAAAAAAAAAAAAAAAAAAAAAAATAAAAAACTGTCTAAATATATATCTAAGTTTACATTAGCAAAAGTCCCTGAACTTGGAGAGCCACTGATAACTGTTGATGGCAGTTGGTGATTAATTTTCTCTCTAATAGTAATAATTTTATTATAGAAGAAGCTCATGAAGTCGTTGCTACTTAAGTTTATGGGGATATGTGGCTCAATAGAGCTGTGACTCTCTGTCAGCCTGGCTACAGTGCTGAAGAGGAACCTAGGGTTATTCTTATTTTCTTCTATTAGTGCTGAGTAATAGGCTCCTCTGGCATTACGGAGGGCCTTTCTATAAGTTTTAAGATTATCATGCCAATTTGAGCGATATTCTGATAATTTGGAAGTGCGCCATTTCCTTTCAGATTTCCTAGCTATTTGTTTTAACTGGCGGGTTTGGTGGTTATACCAAGGTGCTAGTCTCCTATGTTTTAATAATTTCCTTTTTATAGGAGCGATAGAGTCTAATGTTCTTCGTAGTGAGCCTGCAGCACTATCAACAAGATTATCAATTTCAGAGGGATTAAAGTTGTTATAGGATTCTGTTAAATTCAGACATGAAGAGGACTGACACCTGCTAACCCTGACAACAGGGTTAGTTGTGTGTGCTGATCTTAATCATAGTCCTTGGAGGTCACCAGGATAGCTCACCTGGTAGAGCTGGAGCCCCATGTACCAAGGCTGAATCCTTGCTGCAGCAGACCAGGTTAGAATCTGACCTGGGGCCCTTTGCTGCGTGTCACTCCCTCTCTCTCTCCCATTTCCTGTCACTCTTCAACTCTCACTATCAATTAAAGGCAATAAAAGTATGTAAAATAAATAAATAAAAGAATGCTATGAGTTTAGCATTTAGAATCACAAGAGTTGTATGTATTATAAGACATTTTTGAATGTATCAGTCCACATGTGAAACAAAATACAGCAAAATCAGCTCTGTAAAGAGGCCACCGAACCAGTTGTGATTTCTTTATTTACTTTGGAAAACATTGTATTAGAAATTAAAATACATAATAAATGCAAAGGCAGACCGGATCGTCCCCTAATCGGACGGTTGTTGGTTCATTCCCTGGCTCCTCCTGCCACCTGTCGAAGTATCCTTGAGCAAGATACTGAACCTCAAATTGCTCCCCAAATTGCAGGTGTGTGAATGTGTATGAATGCGTTAGTTTCTGTTCGATGGGCTTTGCCATCACTGTGTGAATGTGTGTGAAAGGCACTGTACAGGTCCATTTACCATTTACCATAGCAAATGTTACCTGCATGGATGCTAAATGCTAAATGGACTGCACTTATATAGAACTTTTCTACCTTAACAGACAAAACACTTTGCAACTAGCCTTTCATTCACACACACTCACACACTGATGGCAATGGAGCTGAGCTGAGCTCCCCTGAAAACATTATTTGTGAAATTTTGGGGGGTCTCTAAAATACTCACAATATGCTATATTGTCATGCATTTCTATTTTTCTGTATCTTCATCATCATGGATAATGTGTAAAGTTGACTGTTACTGATGTATGACTCATGCATAAGGGTGATTCATCACTACTACACTTTAATAAAGATTATTGCCATCATAATCCAAGGGTGGCGATTGAATATCCTAAACTTCACTCCCTTTAACTTTCTTTGTCCCGTTCAGTCTGTGCATTGTATCCCTGCTATTCCCTAAAATAGAGTGAGCTCCCCCGAAACCCATATTATAGTTCACACACTGCCTCTGTCATCTTGCAACAGGTGGAACCCACGTTAGCCTATGTATTTTTATGGGATCTGATTGGCTTGTTTGCTGTGTCCTTGGTGAAAAGTACCAAGGAACAAGTGAGGACGACGTCAGGAAACTAATTGTTAACAACTTGCTGAATCTAAGAATATATAATAGATGATAGATTATTGAGAAGAGACTGTTGCATACCGTAAGTGAACGTTGCCAGTGAATATAGTTCTCAGGGTAAGTAACTTACCTTAGAATGAGCTGTTTTTATCAAAACAGGGCTTTTCATACATTTTGCAGCCACTGTAGTTTCTCCTACACACCAAGGAAGATTACCAGTGTTCAGATGGTTTCATCTTTATTGCTAGATGCCACCAAATCCTATACACTGGTGCTTTAAAAAGACAGGCCACCACTTGAAGAGGTCTGGCATAAGAGATGCTTTTCAGCTTTATAGCCTATTGTGACCTATTGCCTTTTGGAAAGATGTTTGTTCAGTGTTCATACATATAGTATATCAAAGTTCCCAGTGGGCAAAATGCTACCTCGGGTCCGTGTTGTTTTGGTTTGATTTTCCTTTCGAAACGGGTATTAAAAACTGAAAGGTGGTTATTTGTTTTGTTTTAAATACAAAATTAAATTGAAATAAGGCGTTTTTCTTCTGGTCAAGGGATGGGAATTTAAAAAATATTATTTCCCGTGTGGGAATGCTAAATAAAGCCTCTATTTATGCCGGACTGATATTTGACCAAATATAGAAAATATGGAATCTGGAGTATAAATATGGGTTTTTTTATCTCCACATTGGTACGAAATGCTTGATATTAGTATACTTGTAGTCTTGATGTGTGAGTCAATATATCTCCTGCCGGAATTATTGAGCAAGTGTTTTTAGTGCTCAAATATATGAAATATTGGGTCAATATGGACTTTTATTTTGGTATTTTACTGGTGGTAGATACTTGATATAAGTGTTTTTTATTCATGGGCCACACTTTAATGTAACATATTTTAATTATGCTTACGGTCTAATACCTTTATTTTGAAACCGGGTAATACGGCGTCTCCGCATTTACCATAATGTGGAATACTTGTCACTCTAATTTAAGTGCGGCTGATTTGACACGGGATCGGACTCCGGCTGGATTGACCGTTCTGTCTCTGTTTCTCTCCCGACCGCCGATGCACATCCGGTTCGATATGAAGGTTTTTCTTTCTGTTTTTGTGATTTTATTTTTGTTATATGAAATAGAAATGATCGATCATTTTTTTTCTCTCCCTTTGACCATGAAAGAAACGCCTTGTATTTCTTTTAATTTTTGTTTTTAAAACGAAAATCAATACCTGTTTTTTTTTACCGTTTCTGAAAGGAAAAACCAAAAACCAAAACAAACACGGACCCTCAGCCCTCAGCAACAGGATATTTCTGTCTTTGACACTTACATTGCTGTCTGTTCAAAATAAATGAAAAGCAACATAATTGTACTAAACTCACACCTAACTGTGGACTTAAAAATAACTAAATCACCAAAGCTGAGTATTCAGTCTAGTATGATGACAAATTAAAATTTGGGCAACACATGCAGTCTGTTCAAGTCTATATTTTTTCCAAAAATAAGGACAAGTTTTTATTATTTTTTTCAATTATTTTATTTAATTTGTTGTTGTTTTAGAATAGATCCAATATATTACATTCTTTAGGCAGTTAAAGCTGCAGTAGGTTACTTTTCTAAAAAATATTTATATATATCTGCTACTGTGAACAAAACAACGAAACAAAAAAATACTTCATATTTGAATTTAGTTGTGCTGAGATTTGTGCTACATATGCATGATTTTGGTCCAACATGTGTAAGTATGACGGCAACATGTAGTCTTCTTATGAACAAACAGCAGCTTCAGAATTATCTGTAGAATCATGACTAGCAATCTGGCTTCACCTGACAGACGAATGGGAAGGGCATGCTGCAGCCATGATTGGACCAGCCTTTTGACCCTGTAAAAACATTATTATCATTTTATCAGTTACCCTATGGCAAAAAATGACATCAATCAAGTTGAAAGTCCCCATGAAACAGAAAACAGAGCTACCTCATCAGGCAGCTATGGAGGGACTTGTAGCAGGTATTGATTGGCATTTACAGTAGCTAAACCAAAGCTAAACCTCCATAAACTATGATCTAGTTTCACCAAAATCACTGTATAAAGTTATAAAGTTGTGCTTGTATACAGTAATTAGTGAGGCTCGGCCATTGATGTACGTAACACATTGGCCCTCAGAAACACTAATGTCGTAAGAGCAACAGTGTATGCAAAATTAGCGTATGCCCCCAAATGCAGGATGAGTCATAAACCAAACTGTAAAACATCATCAAAGCTGCAGTAGGTCATTTTTTATAAAAAATAACTTATTTTCTAAAACTTTCACTATATCCTGACAGATTAGACATGAAAAAATCAGGTTCCTCTGGCTCCTGCTAGTGCTCCTAATGTCCAATCCATTTACAATAATGCACCAGGCCTGAACAAAAACAACCAATCAGAGCCGAGAAAGATGGAAAGATACTTTGGGTTGGTGGCTTGAAGATAGTTGAATGTTGACTCTCATTCTTAGGCTCCGCAAAGTGTCCGATTGGTGGTTTTTGTTCAGCAAATATGACAAACAGTTATTTTCTATAAAGGTTACCTACTGCAGCTTTAAGAACATCCAGAAAAATACCATGTAATTGTTGAACCACATACTGATGTATAGCATATGTGATGATCAATTCTGACTTTATGGGGAACTTTAATGGTATAAATAGGCCTGTGGTCCTGATGGTCTTGTTTGGTGCTGTACTGTACGCTCAAATGTTTTTTGCTATTTTAACCAGCAAATTACTGTGTGGGTTTTCTATTCTTACCTTGAGAGTTGAGCTGTAGGCACTGGTAATGGTCACTGGAGGCCGCTGTTTCCCAGTTGTGATAGTCAAACAATGAGCCGTCTTCCCATCTCCAGTCATCCTGAAGGAGATCATCGTTACAGTCCCATTCATTCACATTTTATTTAAGTGTCTCTGCATGTACACTTTTAGTTTAAAGCACCCTATAAAAGCACCTTATATTATATTACGTCTTGTTGTTGATTTACATTTGAGTCATAGGTAAGTGTGGGATACATGTTTGAGTGTGGGATTCAAGTGAGTGATAACTGTGTTACTACATATTATAACCACAGGTTTTCTCAAATCTGGTCGTTTTAGTGCTTGAACAAACCTGGAAGAAGTAACCTCCGATCCAGGCAAAAGTGTGCCCGCCGTTCTTGACCGTACCCTGGAGGAAATTATACTCCCATATGTTGTGGACTGAGGCCAGGCTGCCACCGTAGTTACCACAGTACCTCTGCAGGGCGAGGCAAGAGGACAAAAATGATATACTGTATTCAAATAATGCTAAGAAGCTCCAAATGTTTTATTTCATTACAATGAATACTATGTTATCACCTCAGCATTTGTCCAGGTGTCAGGGTTGTTGTGTAAGTAGTAGCATTTACCACGGAAATGGAGCCAACCATCAAGGCAAAACTGGAAACGAGCTAGAACAATGGGAAAAACACAATACCAGTAATTAAAATAAATACCAAAATGTATCTTTTTTCTCATTTTATACATTTTTAGGGAATTTATTCACTATCTTAGGATATGAATTTGCTTGAGTTTCCTGCTGCAGCAGCCTCTTGTGTTACTGTGAAGGTGCATTCTGTGATTTTCTTACCTTGAGGTAGAGCAGCTGCTTGGTCAGAAACAGTAGTGTCAACATCCACCTCTGGAAAACCCGACATAAGATCTGTAAGCTTAACTCTTTAATATGTTCTCTGTGTGAGATAGACTGACTTGTGTGAGGAAGTACAGTATTATTTTCTCTTAGACATAACTGAACAGAAAGATGAATTTATAACACTTTAAAGGTATAATTTGTTGTTCTCATGTAGGTGTACTGTGCAGCTTGTAAGAATCCCTAAATGGCAGCATTAGCAATACCTTTCTAAGAAACTTTGTTAAGGAGTAGCAATATTACTACATATTGCTCATTTAAAGGAATTAATTAACTAGGTTTGGATGTACAGTAGAACTAAGGTGATCTCTTCACCATCCTTTAGCTCGAACCAATAATCAGCCACTCCAGGAAGTTGCAATGTCTGCAACAATTTACTCAAATCAAACCAATTCTGTGAATTCTACACAACCTTTGTCTAATCGCCACAACTTTTCTGCACATTTGACCAATCATTGCAGTTTCATGTGGAAAAACAGCCCGTTTTCAGCTTTGTGGTGAGGCATTTTCCAGCTAATCCAAGAGGGTTTTTAAAAATAGTTTAGGTGCACTTCTCGATTTAGAAATAAAGCACATGTTGTTATAATTTTTTATTTAATTACTTTGTTTTTAATTAGAACCTTCAGAAGTTCTATTCTCACAGGAACAAGTTGCCTTCTTCAATTTGTAATGAATTATATATATAAATTGCAACTATTTTTGCAATTTCCTACTGCAGTTTCAATGCAAAAGATTCCCAAAAACATCACATAACATGCCTCACATTGTTTTTAAGGGCTGCTGTGAAATCAGGCATTTCAGGCCATATACCCTGCAAGATCCTGGATTGACTGATAATGTTGTCTGGGACATTTCAGCAATGATTAATTTATCTCTGTCCTAAATATGTTTCAATATATCATCTACGTTTGACAGCTGTCATAAATGTGTACAAGCATTTGAATCTGTTATTATTCTGTCTCACCTGTTGCAGCCCTTACGGACAGAGCAGCACAGAGGATAATAGAGAGGATCAGTAGAGTCTTCATGATGAAAGCTAAGGAACGTCTGGAGGGAAGGATGCTCACAGATCTGCAAATGGAAGCATTGAACAGACAAATGTAAGAAAAAGATACTAGCACCAAAAAAGGACATTGAAGCATTAAGACTTACAGAGAGAGGCAGCTGTCAGTAAATGTGAAGTGTTCTTCAGGTAAGTCAGTGATGACCATAGGCTCTGTGCTCTTTATATACTGAACCACACTGAGTCCCCTCCTTCATGTTCACAATACAACTTGTTGGACTTTGCCTCCTGCGTTATAGTAGTGAGCTGTGTTACAGGAAAACAAATTACTTCCCTATTACTTCTCACCAAGGTGGTTAAAAAAAATCCTCAATCAAACATATGGGTCAAAAAAGCGGTGGAATTTTCCAGGAGATGTTCCATGCTGTCTAAACTGGAATGAAGAACTCTCAAATCTCCTGGAATCGTAATGAATGTGCAGGAGAACTGGCTATAACTTAACTTATAAAAAAGGAGACATAAATTAAGACCACAGAGGTGTCAGTTCAGTAATGTTACACATAACCATGAAGAATCTGATAGGGTAGAATAAAAGCACTAGCTTTTATATCATATCTGTAAATATTAGTGCTGTCAGTTAAACATGTTATTAACGGTGTTAACGCAAACCCATTTTAACGGCGTAAATTTTTTTATCACAAGATTAACGTTCTTTTTGGCCTAGCACACTTTGTAGTTGCAACAACTAGTAACGTTAGAAAAACTACAACACCACACCGGATCTAGCTAGACCGGAAACAAAACAACAGGCACGCCGCACACACTTGTTTAAGAGTAGTAGACGTTACGTTTTGAGTGGATGGCGAGCGCGAGACGCCGAAATGGATGCCACTAATATTCTGAATGGAAAGTTTACTTTTAAAAAGTTGCCAAATGGTTCCATTGACAAGACCAAAGTGATCTGTGTGTTTTGTCGTTGTGAACTGAGCTATCATCGCAGCACGTCCAGTCTGAAATACCACAACATTCTACCATTGAGCGAGTTTGATGTTATTTATTTCTTCTCTAGCCCCTGCTCTGTTACTGAATTGTGGTTTGTATTTACCCTTTAATATAGCAGCCAGTATAATGCAACTTCAACCATCTCAAAAGTATGTAAATACCTAAAATATAGTAGAAGCATAATATGCATCACCACTTGCTCACCATCCCCAACTGATCTCACCCACTCATTTAGCAATCTTCCACATGTATGAATCCTGAACTGACACAAAGAAGGAAGGAAAATATCTTAATTGATGAGTGTAATGAGGATGACTCAGTGAAGGAAAGAGAAAATATCTGAGATAAGATATAGTTCCCCATAGTAACCTATTTACCATTTACTGTACCAGGAAGTCCTTGCATATAAGGTGAAAGAGAAGATAGACTAGACTATCCGGGGATTGCCCATGATGCACTGAGCTCCTCTCTTCCTCTTTCTCTCTTCCTGCACACATTCACGCTGTTGTCGTCGTTGTCATCATCATCTTCTTCATGTTCATCATCATCATCAACATCAGTCACTACTATTAGTGTAGTTCTTGCTACTGTTGTTGCTGTGCACCTTTGTCTCTGTCCTTCTGTCATTACCTCGGTTCTCTCTCTCTCTCTCTCTCTCTCTCTCTCTCACCGCAACTGGTTGAGACAGACGACCACCCACCTAGAGCCGAAGGATCTGTCCTAGGTTTCTGCCTTTTAACAGGCAGTTTTTCCTTGCCCTCGTCGCCAAGGTCTTGCTCATGGTGGTGCTGTTGGGTCTCTGTAAATAATGTTATAAAGAGTTCGGTCTAGACCTGCTCTATTTGAAAAGTGTCCTGAGATAACTTCTGTTATGAATTGGGGCTATACAAATAAAATTGAATTGAATTGAAAAGAGCCTTGAAACTATAGAAATATAATGTGAAACAGAACAGTAGAGTTGTGGGCCAGATAGCTAACCAGTGTGCTGGAACTCACTATAAAGCTCTGTAAAGCCACTTCAAATATTACTGTACAGTAAGTATGACTACATATGTTGAAAAGGATTAGTACAAAGGTAGATATTTGAAGGCTAACAATTAGCAATTATCATTCTTACTAAGTCATATCATCATACTAACCAATCCCTCCATTGAGTCGCATCTAAGCATCTGACCATTATGCTTTGTGAGCAAAGACCTTTTTTCCCTGTGTCATCTGAGAAATTAGCTAAAGTTAGCTCATTTAGGTTAAGACAGGGCTTACAGAGATACAGTCTCTAAGTGACAAAGTAAACTCATATTACAAAATACCAATTCAATGCAATATTAAAATAATAGTAATACTATAGATGTAAATGCTGAGAAGAAAACCTAACCAATATGAGCCATTTGTTTTCCAATGATTCATTTGACTTTTTTAAACTGTCACAATGCAGAACCGCTCCAATGAATTATGTAAAGAAGTTTCAAACAACATTCAACAACAACAACAACAACAACAACAGTAACAATAATAATAATAATGAAAGGGGATTTACACCCAAGAGCTTCACAGTGAAGGGGAGAAACTCCCCTCAACTATATATAGTGCTAACATGCTAACTGCCATAATGACAAGCCAACCACAGGGGATGCAGGGGAGTAGATAGTGAAGATACTGAACCCCAATTTGCTCCCAATGTCTGGTGCTGTCGGTGTGTGAGTGTGTGTGTATGGGTGAGCTCAGTATCATTGTGGGCGCTCTGGACAGGAAGCGCTATATCGCTCCTGAAGAGCAGGTTGGTACCTTGCATGGCAGCCTCTCCCATCAGTGTGTGAATGTGTGACAAAATGTATAAATACGAGTCCAGCTTTTTCACAGCAGCCATTTTGACAGGAAATAGTAGGGTAAATGCAGGCATTACCAATGACACTAATTAAGGTTCTGTTCCATTCAGGTCAAACAGAGTCACGGTGCTATTAAAGTATGTGTTGTAATACCCTGTGAATTGCCCTGCCACTTCATGTCAAAATGGTTGCTGTGAAAAAGATCTGTACCTAAATGACAGCAGGGGGAATTACATTAGAACCCTATATGTACTATATACAGATACATATAGTATATATCTAGTACAACCTCAAAATGCTGAAAGATTTTGGAGGTATCTGACTGTTAATCAATTGAGCACAGATTACAGCCAAAGCCAGCTCCTCTACATCTAATAAAGACATCATGTTTCTCTCAGAACCAGTGCCTGAAATGGGGCAGTATTCACAGGTACTGAGTACTGGCACTTAAGATTTTTGTCCATGTGAGTACCCTTACTTCTTATTGAGTACCACCACCTCTGTTGAGCATAGGCATACCCACCATTGAGGTCACCAAGGTCTGGACCTCAGGTATATACAAAATTTGTGAAATAATCGCATAAAAATAACTAACGTTTTAACGTATGCCCCAAAGCCCCCCTAGAAAGTTCTGAATTTGGACCTCAATATTTCTAAAACCCCTGCATACAGCAGTGCTGGTGAGGAACTACTAAAAGTCTGTGTAACATTTTGGATTTGGGTACCTGGCACCTTTTTTGATCCAATGTAGGCACAGCTCAAAACTGTCTAAAGAGGAGTGGATGTTGACAACTGTTTGAAAGAATAATGGACAGAGAAGTATGTGTTTATCTTAATTTTATTTATATAGTGTAAATTAATTTAAGTCTTGTAATATTCTGTATTTTTGTTATTGTCAACAAATCTCATGCAGCCTCAAACGAGACAGTGAGAGAGAGAGAGAGAGAGAGAGAGAGAGAGAGAGAGAGAGAGAGAGAGAGAGAGAGAGGGGGGACAATGAAAAGTGATTATAGTACCAATAGTAACTGTAGTAATAATAATAGTAATAATAATAATAACAATAATATCAGTAATATTAGCAATGGGAGTCAAGCAGGACCATGGCAGGAGGCTCCATCAAGATCCATGAGAACCTGCGAGACAAGAAAGCACAAGAACCCCCGGGAAAAAAGTTAAGTTAGTAACATGCATTAATGGGACATGAATGTGTCCAGAAAGAGAGAGAGAGGAAGAGAGGATCTCAGTGCATCATGGGAAATCCCCGGATAGTCTAGGCCTATAGCAGCATAACTAAGGGATGGTTCAGGACTCACCTGATCCAGCCCTAACTATAAGCTTTATCAAAGAGGAATGTCTTAAGCCTACTCTTAAATGTGGAGAGGGTGTCTGCCTCCCGAACCACAACTGGAAGTTGGTTCCACAGGAGAGGAGCTTGGTAACTGAAGGCTCTGGCTCCTGTTCTACTTTTAGAGATAGGAACCACAAGTAGCCCTACATTCAGAGAATGCAGTGTTCTAGTGGGGGAATAGGGTACTATGAGATCTGTAAACTAGGAAGGGGCCTGACCATGAAGAGCTTTGTAGGTGAGGAGGAGGATTTTAAATTCTATTCTGAAAATATTCTGCCAGTGCAGAGAAGCTAGTACAGGAGAGATGTGATCTCTTTTCCTAGTTCCTGTCAGGACTCGTGCTGCAACATTCTGAATTAATTGGAATGTCTTAATGGACTTATTGGGGCAACCTGATAATAAGGAATTGCAGTAATCCAGCCTAGAAGTAACAAAAGCATGGATTTGTTTTTCTGCATCCGTCTGTGACAGGATGTGTCTAATTTTTGTAATATTACCTAAATGAAAAAAGGCAGTCCTGGAGGTCTGCTTTATGTGGGAATTAAAGGACATGTCCTGATCAAAGATAACTCCAAGATTCCTGACAGTGGCGCCAGAGGCCAAGGTAATACCATCTAGAGTAACTATATCTTTAGACAGTGATTCTTGGAGGTGTTTGGGGCCAAGTACGAGAATTTAGTTTTTTTCTGAGTTTAGAATCAGAAAATTGCAGCTCATTCAGGTTTTTATGTCCTTAAGACATGTTTGTAACTTAAATAACTGATTAATTTCATCGGGCTTGATCGACAAGTATTACTGGGTATCATCTGCATAACAGTGTAAGTGATTCCTAATAATATTGCCTAAGGGAAGCATATATAGGCAGTACAGAACCTTGTGGAAGTCCATGACTAACTTTAGTATTTATGGAGGATTCATCGTTAATTTGTACAAACTGAGGACAATCTGATGAATATGACTTAAACGGGCTTAGTGCGGTTTCTGTAATGCCAATTTGATGCTCAAGTCTCTGTTAAAGAATAGTATGGTCAATGGTGTCAAATGCAGC